AATTGTTATTTTGGTGAAGATGAAAGAAAATAAGTTATGGAACTCTAAGATACTTGAAAATAGCTCACCAAGTGCTTATTTTAATTCCATTCATTAATAAAAATGTTTATTTTAACTGGAAAACTATGGATTATGTCAAAGAAGAGAGCTTCAGAAGTTGGAAGCTTTAAACAGGATGAAGTAGGGCCAGTGCCGCGGCTCAATAGACTAATCCTCCGCCGTGTGACGCCGGCACACGGGGTTCTAGTCCCGGTCGGGGCGCCGGATTCTGTCCCGGTTGCCCCTCTTCCAGGCCAGCTCTCTGCTGTGGCCAGGGAGTGCAGTGGAGGATGGCCCAAGTGCTTGGGCCCTGCACCCCATGGGAGACCAGGATAAGTACCTGGCTCCTGCCATCGGATCAGCGCGGTGTGCTGCGGCCGCGGCAGCCATTGGAGGGTGAACCAACAGCAAAGGAAGACCTTTCTCTCTGTCTCTCTCTCTCTCACTATCCACTCTGCCTGTCAAAAAAATAAAAATAAAAAAATAAAAAAGTATCCTAGGCTAAGCAATGTTTGATCAACTAGTCATATTAAGTCATATTAAATGAGCTTTTAAAATATTTATTTATTTGAAAGGAGCACATACAGAGAGAGAGGGATAGGGAGGAAAAGGAAAGATTTTCCTACACACTGGTTCATTCTTCAGATGCTTACAACAGCCACGGCCAGGCAAGGAACCAGGGACTCCACCTGGTCTCAGATGAGAGTGCCCTGGGTCCAAACACTAGGACCATAATTTGTTGTCTCCCAGTATGCATTAGCAGGAAGCTACATTGGAGGTGAATGAACTGGAACACAAACGGGCATTCCAGTATGGATGCAGGTGTCCCAAGCAGTGGTTTAACCTGTTCCACACAGCACTTATCCCAAATACATTTTCAACTTTATGATATTTTCATCATATGATTGGCTTATCATCTCAGGACAGACATAACCCTCATTATAAGTAAAGAAAGAGCTGTATTATATTTTTTCACATTCAATATCTCCTTGTTCTTATTCACTATTGTTTTTTCTTTTCTATATCTCTAATATCCTTTCTTATCTTGTCAGGTGTTTATTTTGCTTGTTGAAAAACCTAATACTTTCTGGCCTTATAAATCTGCTCTTCAGTAACCTATCTCATTTTCTTCTGCCTCAGATGCTACATTGGCAGCACAATGTTCTCAGTGGTATTGGAGAATGTCCACCCTATGCTTGTTCTTCAGGGAGGCCTTTGGAAAAAGAGAACAAGGGGACTCTAGCACTAGCATCTGGGCTAACCTACTCTATTTGGCTTCTCCACTGTTGGAAGAATGTTCTCTGCTCACTCCAGCTTCTGTCTTCAATTAGCGTAATTATTGGCTTTGCTTGGCAACTTCATTTACTCCACCCCAATCTGACTAGCAAACCTTTGAAAATCAAATTACCATGCATAGGTCAACTGAATCCTTTCTCCTTTCAGGTCTTTGAGAAGTAAGTGTATACTCCAGCTCTTCTAGGGTCAAATTGCCTGTTCCAGGTGGGTAAGTGCATTTATGCAGGCCCTCTGGAATAAAAATTTCAAATATAAAGGATGCTTTTCTTAATGAAAAAGACTGTGGGGAAAACTAGAAATATCATAAAGACTGGGAGAGTTGGTAAACCATTGTGTTCTGATATTTGTACTAAAGAGTGGAAGGAACAAGGGTTTGGTAAAACCTTTTTTTCTTTCTTTTTTTTTTTTTTATTTATTCGACAGATAGATTTAGACAGAGACAGACAGAGAGAGAGAGAGAGAGAGACAGAAAGGTCTTCCTTCCATTGGTTCACCCTACAAAGAGCTGCTATGGCCAGAGCTACGCCAATCCGAAGCCAGGATCCAGGTGCTTTCTCCTGGTCTCCCATGTGGGTGACCGGCCCAAGCACTTGGGCAATCCTCCACTGCCCTCCCGGGCCACAGCAGAGAGCTGTTGGTAAAGTCTTAAATATTCTACATATACTTTTACCCAACTGAAAGGGATTCGCCCAAAGTTAGAGGATTCTCCTGTCTCCCAGGAACAGATCTGCCTTTGTAAACCTGTCATGCAGTTAGTAACTGGGAGCAGCCCAGGAGGAAAATAGCTGGAGAATAAAAGTAGTACATTGTCATGAGAACTAAAAAAGGAGGGATTTTTCAAGAAAAACTTATCAAACATATCAACATAGCATTACTGTGATGTAAGTGGACATATATATTAAAATAAATATAGATGCCTGTGCCATGGCATAGCAGGTAAAACCGCCATCTGCAGTGCCAGCATCCTGTATGGGCACTGGTTCAAGTCTCAGCTGTTCCACTTCTGATCCAGCAATCTGCTATGACCTGGAAAAGCAATGGAATATTTCCCAAGTCGCCCCTGCACCTGCGTGGGAGACCCAGAACAAGCTCCTGGCTCCTGGCTTTGGATGGCCGCAGCTCCAGTCGTTGTGGCCATTTGGGGAGTGAGCAGCAGATGGAAGACCTCTCTCTCTCTTTCTTTCTTTCTCTTCTCTCTCTCTCTGTAACTCTGCATTTCAAAAAAATAAATAAATCTTTAAAAATATTTTTAAAAATAATATAAAAACCACATTCAACTATAAGCCTGATTGCTCAGGGACTAAGAAATGAATGTATCCATAAACTTTTGATTTAAAATTAAGTAAAAATTTCTAAGATACTAAGAAGTTATGAGACAGTTAATTAGGCCTGTATAAGTCATTGCTGGAAGATATTTTTTTAAATACACATTATTTTACAATTTATAAGCCATTGCCCTCCTTTCCTTATAGGAGTACATTACATTATCAGAGTGAATAAAAACACAATTGGGCATCTGAAACATGTTTGATAAACAACAGGGTGATGTATGAATTTATCCTTACAGTAAGATGATATTGTTGGGAATGGCTTTGTGGCATGGTGACTAAAGCCACTGCCTACAACTTGGGCATCTCATATGGGCACTGGCTCATGCCCCAGCTGGCCCACTTCCAATTCAGCTCCCTGCTAATGTCCTGGGAAAGAAGTGGAAGATGGCTCAAATGCTTGAGCCCCTGTCACTCAAGTGGGAGACTTGGGTGAAGCTCCTGGCTCCTGACTTTGACCTGGCCAATCCCAGCCACTGTGGCCATTTAGAAACTCTCTCTCTCTCTTTCCCTCCCCCCTCCCCAGCTCTGCCTTTCAAATAAGTGAAATAAATCTTAAAAAAAAAAGTGTACCCAGAAACTTTTAAAAAGATTATATTGTTAAAGTTTTTAAAAATTCTCACAACTAGTTGTTTACTGTTTATTATTGCCTTATTTCCTTAACAGTCTTAGCAGAAAAGTTAATATTTGTAATGACTATTTGATTTCTATACCGATTTTGCCTTTCATATCTCATTGACAGTAATTACACGCACACACACACACACACACACACAGAGTCCTGAGTCTGGGATTAAAGGATTTGAAAATGCCTTCTGGCTGGCGCTGCGGAGCTCACTAGGCTAATCTTCCACCTGTGGCGCTGGCACCCTGGGTTCTAGTCCCGGTTGGGGCACCTGATTCTGTCCCAGTTGCTCCTCTTCCAGTCTAGCTCTCTGCTGTGGCCCAGGAGTGCAGTGGAGGATGGCCCAAGTCCTTTGGCCCTGCACCCTCATGGGAGACCAGGAGGAAGCACCTGGTGTCTGGCTTCAGATCAGTGCAGTGCGCTGGCAGCAACGCGCCGGCCATAGCGGCCACTTGGGGGGTGAACCAACGGAAAAAGGAAGACCTTTCTCTCTCTATCTCTCTCTCTCTCACTGTCTAACTCTGCCTGTCAAAAAAAAATTTTTAAGAAAACAAAAAAACAAAAAAAAAGAAAATGCCTTCTCTTTTTACTATTTCTTTTCCTTCAAGTATTGTAAACAATGTTTTTACTTATTCTAACAATATATTCACCTTGTCATGTTTGAGAACAAGGATTATCTTTGGGGATTACCCAAATTGAACCCAATTCCAATATAATAAAACATAGCAGCTTCTTCTTCAAGGATTACAGATAGTATTTCATTTTAAGAATTCTACTTTGTGTTCTACTATTATACTTCTTGCAAAGAGAAAATGGATATGATACACACTTTGCTCCTTCCTAAGTGGTACTGGTTATATGTTATATGATATGGAATTTTTTTCTATCCTATATATTCCTAACAGCTGACTCCTGGCTATTCCTTTAGAATTTCCACATCATGGACAAACACATGTAATAGAATAGAAATAAGGATTTCACTTGGAGAAGGCTATAAAAATTACTGTATGAGCTGACTAAAGGCTAACTGGACACACAATAATCTAGAAAAACCATAAAGGGAGTGGTGCTGTGTAATGGGCTAAGCCTCCACCTATGGCAGTGACTTCACAGATTGGTGCCAATTCATGTCCTGGCTGCTCCTATCCCAATCCCACTCTTTGTGGCTTGGGAAAGCAGTGGAGGATGGCCCAAGTGCTTGGTCCCATGCACCTGCATGGGAGACCTAGAAGAAGTTCTTGGCTCCTGGCTTCAGATCTGCCCAGCTTTAGCCATTGCAGCCACTTGGGGAGTGAAGCAGTGGATGGAAGACCTTTCTCTCTGTTTCTCCCTCTCTTTATCTGTAACTCTCTCAAATTATAAAAAAAAGAACCCTAGACAGCAAGATTCTAGAAGAAAGCAGAAGGAAATTTTCAAAACATTGGATTTGACAATGAGTTCTCATTATATGACACAAATGTTACTAATCATCAAGTTAACACAAATCAAAGTCAAAAGGAACTATCATTTTGTACCAGTTAGGATGATCATTATACAAAAAAAAAAAAAAAAAACAAAAATAAAAAGACAAAAAAACAGAAAATAAAAGGTGTTGATGAAGATGTGGAGAGCTTAGAACTCTTATGCTTTTTTTTAATTTCAAAATCGATTTTATTGCAGCCAAAACAGTAGAATTAATTGTATATAACAATCTATTTTATATATATACACATTTTAAGTTATAGGGAATAAAGTTTATTTTGGCAGATAGTGTTAAACAAAATTAAAGTTGCAAACATTAGTAACGTAATTCAACATCCTTAATTTGGTATAAGAGTGACAAATCTTCTTGGTTTCCTGCGTTCTGCTAAATCACCATACCTAAACTGTTTTATAAAACTGATACACTGAAATTTAACTTTATTGCTTTCTCTTACGCTCTGATTCCAAACAAAACTTTTCATAAGCTTCTTCTATCTCTGGGTCCATCTCATCATCAATATCATGCAAGTATCTTTCAAAAGAGAACTTACAGATCACCAGCCCCGGATAAATCTGTTCCATTTTCTTCATAATCTGGGAAAAAATCTTCTCTTTCAAGTAATTCTTGATATTTCTCTTGGTAATCTGGATCAGCTGCAGTGAAAGGAACACCATCAGATGTATAAAATGTTGGCTCATTCATAAAGTAGTTCGGGTCATTCTCAGGTGTTGCTTCTCTGTATGTAGAAATTGCGTGGACTCTACCCCGGTTGCTTGACCGGAGTTCTACAAGTTTCAGGAGCATCTGCTTTACATCTCTGCTGCAGTTAGCATCTAGGACAACATTTTCAATTCTCTGAATAAGTTCTTCCATATCAGTCTTTCCTTTTTCCTTCCAGGCATCTTCCAAAACTGACCCCGTCAACTTCAGTAATTTTACAGCACAAATTAAGTTTTCATCCACAGGATTAGAAAAGAGGGCATTGAGCAACTCGCGAAGACCAACCTGAAGAATATCTGCTCTCATAACCTGTCCATTTGTTCCCTTGATCTCCAGGTTAAGGTAAAGTTCTCCCAGGAAGAGTACAAATGCATGCAATCGTTTTTGAGTCACTTCATCACCTTTTGCAGCTTGATATTTAACTTCATATTCAGTCCGACACCTTTGAAGTAGCAATTGACTAAAGTTGCCACTCTGTGGGCTAATCGTCAGATGATGGGACAAGTAATTACACAGGCGAGCTCCCATGTAAGAGAAATTTGGGATAGACGTAGCCTGTTGATAGATACGTTCCACAAGTTCTTGCAAAGCATCATCTATTGTAACCCAACCATTCAGGGTCTCTACAAACTGTCCAATTTCAGTTTCGAAACTGCCAGGCTGTTCGGTGAGATGATTCAAAAAATCCTGAACATACTCTGATAGAGTGGGATAATCCTCACAACCATCTTCATAGGATTCTGTATAATTAGAATAACCTGATGGGTAAAATTCAGGGGCATTTGCCGGCAGCGTAGACATTAGTACAGGAGCTGCCACCACCTGGGGCTTCGCCATTGCTGACTCCTAGTTCTGCTGTGGGATTTTGTCCTTTGAAGTAGGTGGCGCTCTCAGGGGCCTCGTTTGTTCCCAGGCAGGCCTGACCTACTCGATGGTTCTCCGGAGAGAAATGCGAGAACTCTTATGCTTTTTGAGAACATTAAACAACACAGCTGCTATGAAGAACATTATAAAGATTTTCAAAAATGTAAAGAAGACAGCATATGATCAAGAAATTTTACTTTTTTTTTTTTTAAAAAGAGATTTATTTATTTATTTGAGAAGTAGAGTTAGAGAGAGAGAGATGGAGAGACAGAGAAAGGTCTTCTATCTGCTGGTTCACTCCACAAAAGACCACAATAACTGGAGCTGGACTCATCTGAAGCCAGAAATTCTTCCAGGTCTTCCACGTGGGTGCAGGGGCCCACGTGGTTGCTGGGCCCATCTTCTGCTGCTTTCCTGGGCCATAGAGGAGAGCTGGAATGAAAGAGGACAGCCAGGATACAAACTGGTGCCTGTATGGGATGCTAGCATTGCTGGTGGATGCTTAGCCCACTATTTCACAGTGCTGGCCTTGCAATTTTTATTCTTAATGGTTAATCAAACAAATTGAAAATAGGATATCAAAAAGCTATTCATCTACTCAAATTCCTTGCAGCATTGTTGACAATAATAATGAGGTGGAAGTAACCTAACTTTCCAGGAATGGATGAATAGAAGAAGATAATTGATATATGCAAACAGAATATATCTTACAAAAAGAAAATTCTGTCATATACTATACTGGTAAACATTTAGGACATTATTCTAAGTGAAATAAACCATCAAAATGATAAATACTATGCAATTCCAGTTATGGGGTTACTAATTAGCCAAATTCATAAAAACGATGGTTTCCAGGGTCTGGAAAAAAGGAAAAAGAAGAGTTACCATTCATTGAGTACAGAGTTGCAGTCTTTCTTGCAAAACAAAAAGTTCTACATACATCAGTACTCATGAAGTCAATGCTATTATACTGTATGCATAAAACTGATTAGTTGGGTAAACTTCATTTTACATGTTTTTATCACCATAAAACATATTGAAATATGAAGGATCCAAATGGGCATGATTTATACAACTTAAGCATCAAAAACTATAAATACACTAATCCTGTGATTATAAAGTGGATTAAAATTGTGTTTTTGCAAAAATTAAAAAAAGAAAGGATGGGAGGAAGGGGCTAGAGGGGGGAAGGGAGGGAAATATGGTTATCTTTTTAGAATTATACCTATGAAATAAATGAAGTCTGTTCTCTTCATATTAGTAAAAATTTAAAAAATAGATAACAGCACAAGGAGTCCAAGAGTCAATAGGGGTGGTTAAGACATAGAAATAATTTGAAACAGGAGATAAAGAGAAGGAAAAAGAGAGAGAGTGAAAGAGGGGGAGAAAGATATTATTCTTTGCAGAATAATATCAGCTAATAAGTATAGACAAAAATGGCGGGATTTTTAATGGAATTTTATAGCCACCAATGTACAACCATCACATGTTAGAAAGCAGTATTTCAGTCAACAGCGGACTACATATACAACGGCAATGACAAGATTATATCAGCTAATTATATTATAGGGACCTTAAATTGTGTAAGTGCACTCTTGCATATTCACACAATAACAAAATCATCTGACAATGCACTTCTTAGAACTTACCATCATTGTTAAGCAACAAATGAGTATAACTGATTCAACAAATATGTAAAACTATTGAGTGAAATGTTGTTGAAGAAGTTTTACATGGACCCACAGTACTCTCATAAATTATTCATTATTAGAAACAGAAGAATATTATTTTACAACAAAAAAATCTGGCATTCAACTGCCTAACCAAATGAACATTGTACATCTGTTCATCATTTGATACAACACAAATTACATAATATCACATAGAGCCAAAATATTTAATTTTAATCTAATCATAAGGAAGCAATCACATAAACTCAGAGTGTGTTAGATTCTGCATGACAGTTGGTCTGAATATCCCCAAAAGTCAATGTCAGAAAAAAAGAAAAGAAAAATATCAAATGTTCAGGAAGCTGTTTAGTTAGAAAGACACTACAGAGATGTAAAAGTCAAATGCAAGATATGAATACTGAATATGAAATGTATGTAATTTAATATCAAATGACTGTAGATTTTCATATGTGCAATGATGGTGAAAAAGAGAAATCTTTATTCTTAGTAACTATTTGAAGTTAAAAGATTGAGCAAACAATTTTTGTGTTTGTGTGTGTGTGTGTGTGTGTAGACAGAGACACAAAAACAGAAAGATAAATAAATGTGGCATAATTTTGAAATGCATTAGATCTATATGAAGACATATGAGTTCTCATTCTTTAAATTTTCAAAATTCAAAAGAATGAAAAAATAGTGAAGCAAAGATTTCTACCACAGTTGTTTTGTGAAATAAAGTAGGGAAATATATAGTATATGAGCAAGCTTCTCAAATATACCTTTTATAAATCTCTGCTGATTCACTGAATTTCTACTCCCTGCTGCAAGTAGTACTTTACCTTTTTAATTTTCTCTATTTCCTCTCTTTCTCTCCTTTCACTCTATCAAGATCTCACCAACACATACATATATACACACAGACACACACACACACACATACACATACACACAAATGCACAGCCCTAACTACATTCTTAGCAAATTCCATAGATTGTCCATGACCAATAAAAGTCTTAAAAATTTATGTAACGTGTATTATGAGAAAAGTGAGTATAAATTTCAAACTTTGGTAACACAATAAACATAAATTTTAAAAATTATCTTTTTATTTATTTGAAGAGGAAAGAGACAAAGATCTCTCATCTGCTTTTCACTCTCCAAATGCCAACAACACATAGCTTGGGGCCAGCATGAAGCCAGGGGCTGGGAAACCTACCAAAGCTTCCCAGGTGGTTTCCAAGACCCAATACTTGAGCCATCATCACCTTGTCACCTCCAAAAGTCTACATTAGCAGGGTGCTGAAATTGGGAATGGAATCAAAACTCTAATCCAGGCATGCTGACAAGAAATACAGTTGTCCCAAGTGGTGCCCTAACCACTATTCCAAACAGCCACCCCTAAATTTGTCTTTTAAAACCATTTCTCACAATCATTTTGAAGTGTGTCTATATAAAACAAAAGCTGAATAATTTTCACAACAACTACATTATAACATGACACTGAATATTTCTTTGAAAGGGGTTAGGTTGGCAAGGTGAAGAAAATGCTGAATTCAACCCTACCAATAAAGATAGCAATATAAATACATAGGCAAGGTCAGGTTTCTGCTCTCTCACTCCATCACAAGCAGCCCCCAAACCATGGCTACTCTGCTGGAAATCTGTGAGAATTACTTGCAGAATTGCTGGAGGTTGAGAAGTTTAACCTTCAAACATTGCCAAACCCCTGACCAACTAGATTAGTAACAGTTGTAGTTTAAAAGTTTTTCCCAGTAGAAAAGAAAAGAAAGAACTGATTTAAGAATGGCATAAACTCAAGGGAAATTCAAATGCCCCAAATTACATATAAGTAGTAGAGATACCGCAGAAATCACTTTGGTGCCAAAAGATCAAGGTGATATATGTGCAGGCACACTCTCAATCATGTCAGCTTTGAATGGTGTCTGGAATGGGAGCAAGAAGGGCAACTTGATTGTGGGTAAAACATATTAATTTAGAATGACTGTGTAGATGTTTGTTTAAGAAAATAGGAGACATGGGAGGCAGAACTTTAGCGATAAAGTAAACTAAGTTTACCCCATGATTTATTTGCTAATCTTTTTTTTCCCAAATAATAATCAAAAGTTCTAGTACAAAAAAGTTGGAAAGTTGTAGATGGTATTGTCTTTATTGCTTTATTGGCTTTGAGGCATCATATTTCTAGGCATGACACCATGCAGAGTGTCATGCAGAGAATTATAAATTAGTTTCTGTCTTTGTTGCCTTTCTTTGACTATAGGTGAGGCAATGCTTGACTGCTTTTAAAGCTACCTCCCTCATTTGGAGAAAGATTGAAAAATGAGGATCCATTTGTTTTCAGTAAAGCTAAAAGTGCTGATTTTACGAGTCAAATCCTTCCTAGGAAGAACAAAGTACCCAAAGATATGGGCGTCTCCTTACATTGTTGGTAAAAATATTTCTTACAAAGTATTATTGTGATATGATGCAAAAGGAATGTCCTAAAAGAGCAAATCCTAGCTGATTTGAAAACTGATTATTATCCCTCTACATTTTCAGAGTTTATGTGATCATGTTTGCCTGTTTCTTATTTCTTTTTTCTTTTTTGAAGATTGATTTGTTTGTTTGGAAGGCACTTAAATAGAGAGAGAAGGAGAGACACATAGATCTTCCATCCACTCCCCAAGTGGTTGCAATGACCATTGGCTGGACCAGGCTGAAGCCAGGAGCCACAGACTTCTTCCTGATCTCCGATATGGGTGACAGGGGGCCAGGGACTTGGGCCATCTTCCACTGTTTTCCCAGACCATTAACAGGGAGCTGGATGGGAAGTGGAACAGCCAACACTTGAACAGGTACCCATTTGGGATGCCAGTGCTGCATGCCAGGTTACTGCCACGCCACAAGTGCCTGCCTTGTTGCCTGTTTATTTCTAAAGAAAGATTGATACAACAGATAATTCAGTTGTCACGAAATTGCCATATGGCAAAAGAGTAAATCAACAATAAGTTTAAAGCAAACAGAATATGACATATCTCTCATATACATTAAAAACTAAACCAATAACAATGAAAATGAAACAGAAAAACATAACTAGAATTCTAACTAGAGCTTGATGACTTCTTATATACTGATGAGAAAAATTTCCTCTTATGAAATACAAACATGAAATATTAACAAAATTAATTTAATCTTTTCCCTATTAATAATCAGAATCATGATTAACAAAATTATTAGAAAGTGGCTGGTGCTATTCTTCAGAATGGAAAACTTGACACGCTACTTTCAATAATATGCTTATTTGAAAGAGACATTTATAAAACGAAATTAGATGGAAAACAGCAATTACCATGTCAATGTGTTCCCCAAAGTGTTCTAATTTTCCAATTTATTTTCAAAAATTAATCA